TATATATATATATATATATATATATATACACACACATCAGCATAAACATTGTTATCCACAAGTATTACTCATTTTTTAACATACAGATATCAGTTTGATAAATACTGAAATGTATTTCTATCTCATTGCCATTTGTTTCTGGAGGGAGAGTGGAGGAGGTTGGTATTTCTTTGGTTACATGATAGTGATGCAGCACACGATTGTGGGAGCAGACAAAACTGTCTGGGAAAGAAAAACAAATATTTTTTAACACATTGTCTGAGTTCTCAAAGGTTTGATTTTGGTTTTCTTGCAGAAGCAGAATTTGGACATGTATATATTTCATTCACAAACCAAATGTTTAGCTTTTAATTACACCGAACATTTTAGCTTACCACATTTTAAGATTGATTCACGAGACCTTAACTTTTGAAAAAATGACATTTTGTAGGAAGTCAGGATTGACATTTTCAGTATACGAACAAAGCTCCTATTGAGTTCATGTAGTGAAATCTCTTTGACATGTGTTGGGTGCAAGAGAAAATCAAATATCACAAGCTCCACGTCCACATTTTTGCAGTTGAAAAGTAATCTGAGTGAGTTCTAAAGAAGTGAAAAGAAAACATCACTTACTGTATTGACAATTCCTTCCCATGTACTCCCCTGGGCATTCACAAGAGTAGTTAGCAACCTGATCAGTGCAGATTCCCCCATTCTTACAAGGATCCTTTTCACATTCATTGATGTCTAGAAGAAGAGAGGAAAGACAAGAAGCACAAAAACATAATCCTTTAATTTACGAGCACAGATAATCAGAAATAATAGGCTCTGTGCAGATTAAAATGAAATGCATAGAATCATCTGACTTTTTTTAGTGTTGCTTGATTTGTGGATACCTTCATCCAAATACAGTGCTATCTTGGAACTAAATCACCAAATGACGCCTTGATTGAATTTTAATGCAACATATTTAATCCAAGTTTCAGCACCTGCATCTGTTCATCCATGTGTACTACTTCAAAAGGAAATCTCAGGGTTTTGTCACCTCAATTTCTGTCCTGCCTATTTTCCCTCAGTTCAGCTGATACAAACCTAAATTGACAAGATGGCCTGGCAGATGCCCTTTGTGTTACACAATCACCTGGGAGTTTTGTTTTTTTCTGGTGATGCTCAAACCAAAAACTGTGAAACCAGCAGGGTTGGCAGAGCCCCAGTACAACCTACTGTTGAGCATCTTGTGCAAAATAATAATAATAATAATAAAAAAAACAAACAACAACAAACTGTGATAGAACAACAAACATATCAATCAATCGATCATACCAATTCATTCACCTATCAAAGTAGAAAAATGTCATCTATGACATTTATAGTTGGAACTAGAAGTTTGCATACATTGAATAATAAAAATATTTTTTCTTGCTGTTTCAAGCTAAATTGGATCAAACTTATCTTGGCTTAGGTCATTTAGATTTACCAAAACTATTTCTATTTGCAAAATGTCACAATTTAGAGAGAAAGAATATTTAAGAGATTTATTTATTAATGTTTTCAAGTTCTCAAGTTTACATACATTCCCTCAGTATTTGGCCTTTAAACTGTATGACTTGGGTCAAAGGTTTTAGGTGTCCTTCCACAAGCTTTTCACAATAGTTTGCTGGAAATCTGGACCATTCCTTCTGTCAGAATTGGTGTAGCCTAGTCATGTTCGAAGGCAGTCTGTTTCACTTGCACACACAACATTTCAGATCTGCCCACAAATTTTCAGGAGGATCAACTTTGTGATGCTCATGCTAAAAAAATGACTTTGCTGCCCTTAAGCCACTTTGTTACCAGTTTGGCTGTGTGGATAGGTTTACTGTCCGTTGGAGAAACCCATTTTATACTGAGCTTTAACTTCTTAGCTGATGTCTTTAGACATCTACATTAACTTAGTGTTCTTCCTTCATGATGACATCTATCTATGAAATAAAACCAGTTCCTTCTGGCAAAACTGAAGTATGGAAGTGGCCAAATCTTAATGTTGCCACCTCCACACTTCACAGGTGGGATGGTGTTCCCAGGTTTACAAACATACGACCTTGACTCTGGCAGCCTTATGCACAATAATCAAATCAATTTCTTTAGGTGCAATTTTTAAATCTTGAGAGCAACAATTATTACACATCATTAAAGATTTTTTTATTTATTATTTTTTTTAAATAGACTGGCACTGGCTACTTTTCTTTTGTAAATGAAATCAAATAATAATATTAAAAAACTTTGGTAGATAACATGTTTTTTTATGAGTTTGGTTAAAGAATAAAAATCTGTCAAGAACAACTTGAGGTGGTCTGTCAGACTGAGTTTATATCAACAATATCTAAAGCAGATCCTGGAAGTTGCCATGTACTATTCATACATATTTTACATTTGAAGTTGTTGATGCAATGTATAAACAGAGTTTGTTTTGTGAGAAAAAAAAAATTGAAACTGATCCAGAATTTTAAAAAACAAAGTGTTTAATGCTCTTTTTTTTCCTATGCAGAACGAAGTAACCCTAGCAGCCTTGGTTTATGGCTGATTCACACCAGCTGATCTCATTTGCATCTGCTGTGGCTGCAAATACCAAAGCCGAAATGAAAAGGGGAATTTAGCACCTTTGACAATTGTTCTTCATCAATCTAACTAAGTTCATTTAATTCAAGTATCACAGAGGTATATGAGAGCAGAACAGAGTGCCAACGGTCAACTGTCCTCAATAATAGCCATGTAAAATAACTCTCGTTCAAATAACCAAGGTGACAGAACTTGAACCCAACTCCATTACACATATTTTCACTGTGTTGTTATAAGCATAGATAAGAGCATTAAATGACAGCAGTGATTTAAATGCGGAGGGATGGAATGAAATGAACTTTCAGTCACTTCTGAATAAATTTGTAATCATTTCTAAATTTGCCTATGGCTGCAAAAGACTTTTAATCCTCTAAAACATACCTTGAGCAGTGTGGGACTCAAAGGTGCAGTTTGGATTCATGAATATGAAACTAGGTCATAGATTTAAAAAGCTTAAGGAAGTGGAAAAAAAAGATCTCATCTCTCTGAGATCCTAAATCAGTTGGGCACTTTTGTAGTTCTTTATTTCTTTTTTTTTTTTTTTTTTTTCAGAAATGTCTTACAGTCTTATCTTTGAACATACAAATCTGTGACCAGAGAAACTAACGTGTTCAATTTGTAACCCAAGACAACACTAAAAAAGTAAATTGCTTACAAGGGTGAAATAAAACAGAAGGAGTTTTTAAAATAATGACGTATATTTTAGAACAAATATACCTTCTCGCTAGATGGAGAATAGAATCGTGACAAAGTCAACAGTTTTAAATACAACCATCTGTCTGCTGCTTTAATGAAGAAGCAACATGACAGATTTTTAAAGATAGTGGTCTAAACATCACATTAAAACAAGAGACTGAAATGGAGTTGAAGGTATTGAAGCATATTCTTAAGTTATGTTTAATTTTTAAAGTTTTTATATAATGAGATGAAAAAGCTCAAGGAATTGCATATAGTGTGTATATATATTTATAGGATTTACTTCAGTCTCCGTTTTCATTTTGTCTTGATAAATCGTTTGTTATTGTCTGCATTTGAATGTTTTTTCACCATTTCCGAAAACATTTTCAAACCTCCAGCCTATCTAAAGAAAGCTCTAATTTCCACACCATTATATATGGCAACATTTTTTATTATCAGTTGGGTAATAAAAGGAAACTGGATTTTACCCAGAAAAATACATTTTTCTTGGGTTTTGTTGTACTGGACGTGCCAGATGTCAGAAGCTAATTTTCTTATCTTTAAACTGTGTTATTTGATGCACTCATCCAGAACCACTGAACTGCAGCACCAGATAAAACATGAACAATCTTGCAAAACAGAAGCTCCAGAAAGAAAAAGCAGGCCTCCTATACAATGAGATCCAAAACACATTTTAGCACGTTTGCATTTGCAGCCTAAGTTGAGAACTTTATACTATGTGTAAACAATGTGTACTTCAGAGCAGTGATATAAATTGAGTTTATAGTTCAACATGTATTTAAGAAATATCATTTGGTCATATTTTTCTAGTTGTGTTCTACAAATCCAGTTTCCAAACTCCGTAAGTCAACTGAATGCCTGCTTATTCATTAATGACCAAAACAATTGATAATATGATTTAAAAAAGACGAACACACCTGGTCCAAAGTCTTAATGTATTTTAGTACTTAATTCAAAAGGGATGCTTGTATTATTTTGGCTCACACACAATTCAAGCCATCCATTCATCCATCCATTAATCTGAGCAAGCCAGTGCCTATGTTCAGCAGTCACGCAAATCAATTTCTTTGAAATTTTGTTTATACTTAAGACCAATGGAAAACAGATTTTTCTTACAGAAATGTAAGCTATGGCCAGAAAAAGAATGAGGAAAAATGTTGACTTGATGTCCAGCAAAACACTCAGCAAAACAGTCAACAAGAAGAGTAAGCTAAAATGCAGCTAAACCATATTTGTGCAGACAGGGTTTTAATTAATGTGCTTTTCTTATGCGTTCTGTGAAGCACTTTGTGATTTTATCAGTGAAAGTCACTATAGAAAGAAAATGTCTTGATTACATTTTCCTAACAGTCTTTTTATTTGGTGTTATGTAACATGGAAATGTTCTAAGTTTGGGCTTTCATCGCTTTTCCTAAGTTATTATAATCCTTATGATAGCAGAAACAAAAATAAAATGTTCACTCTGATTGTAAAACAAATCAACATTTTCTCAAAGCATCGCATACAGCAATGAAGTAAAGAAAAGTAAATTAAAATATTTCTCTCTGATATCATGTTTGGTAGAGTCTGGGTTTATTTTCATTTTATTCTCTAATGCTGTGGTCACATTTGGTACATGTGTGCTACAAGGGTTTGGTCATCTTAACATCACCTGTAGTTGTAATTAAATAACTTGTTATCTATTTAACTATTCTGTAGACCAGGGGTGCTCATGTCCAGTCCTCGAGAGCTACCGTCCTGCAACTTTCAGACAGATCCCTGCTCCAACACACCTGAATCAAATGAATGGCTCATAACCAGGCCTGTTCAGAGCTGAACGACTGCTGGTGAGGAAATTCAGCCATTTGATCCCAGGCTGTTGGAGGAAGGATGCATCTAAAAGTTGCAGGACTGCAGCTCTCAAGGCCTGGATTTGAGCACACCTGCTGTAAACGAATCTGGTTAAAAAATGTAGTTTTCAATATCATTGATGCTTCCATTGATTATGCTGACGCTAAGTGGAATAAACCAGTTATATGGAGACATTAGAAGGAAGCCGATCAGGAGGGATGCAGTCTGACAGACATGAAGGCTTGCAATAATGTTCAACTGTGGAAAATAACTTATTTCCTAACTTAACTCCAGCACATCCAGAAAGACATTAGATAAACCTTTCTGAAGCTTTTCATTTATTTTACTGCCAGACCTAAATTTGTCTTTACTTAAGCAGGTATGGTGAAAATAACATAAATGAAAACAGTTATTAAGCAGAACTCTTGTCAGCATGCCTTTCTGACACAATCTGACAATAATTTGCACAGAGATATTTGCTTTCTTCTAATTACCAGGTGGAGCAATAAAAACAAAATGTGATTTTATGGCCACTTAATATAACACTGAGGAAAACATATTCTTGGTACTGAAAGCCTGCAGAGCCATCTGTTATTTTGTAACTGAGGAGTTCAGCGATA